TGTTTGTAACTTTACACTGGCTTTTGACTGAAACTATACTGTATACAGGGTTATTTTCACCCTTTCACACTTGCAATCAATTTTGCCGTGTCTTGAAATTTGGCACGTCATGACTTCTATTTAACAAATTCTACTGAGTTCTTTGAATTCAGCCTGTTTGAAATACACCCCATCATAGTTCTGTTGTAGAAATTGTACTGTGTTCCTTGAATTCGACTAAATTTGCCAACCTGCGAGTAGGGCAAAATTTTCCCTATATACAGTATTTGTAACTCACTTTGATGCCTATTTTGGTCTGTTCCTTTCTTTTTTCCCTATAAGTCTGTAACTCCTCTCTATCTTATGTGCTCTACTGACAAAACATTTAAATGCACAAAAAATGAGATACACGTAAATTCTTTTTTTTCAATTTATTTTTATATACCGTAGTTTTTTTTTTAAAAATAAATACTGTAAAAATCATTTTAAAATGTTATTTTGCACTAGCTCTATTGATAAACATATCTAGTCCCCTGATTAAACTCCAAACAGCATTCTGAGGTCATCTAAGGTCAAACGTGAACTCACTCCTCCCGACCTGTGACAAGAAAAAAAAAAATCACAAAATCAGAATAGTAATTCATGTTCATTAGGATCAGGCATTTAGCAAAGGGTAGTCCTGTTGCACCTAACAATGAAATGTTACCTTAATATTAATACAAGTTTTTACTAAGTTGTTATTAAAGACATCCCCCTCCATGAAAAAAGGGTTTTAAAAAAAATCACCACACACATTTATTTATATTGAATTTTATAATAAATGGCTAATTAATATATATAAGATTTACTCTACATATGTATATATGTATAATTTAATTTTCATTCATTTGATGTAATGATTGTTCTACCAAAATGACTTCAGTTTGTACAAAATCTGAATGTAATGTCGGGCAGATTGATACGTTTTTGACGCAAGTCATTGTGACATAAGCAACCTATTTTATACGATATAAAGTAAATTTTTATCCAATCAAATACAGCGATACAACCAGAATTAAATTATATTGAATTTTATAATAAATGGCTAATCAATATATATAAGATTTACTCTACATATGTATATACACATTTTCTTTAAATTCAAATACAGTCTGACATAGGCAAAATGATTGCTCCTAAGAACTGCTAGTAATTAATTCAGTTTTAATTTTTAAAAAAAATTATACTGTACATGTATTTCTGACAATGCAAAAAAAAAAAAAAAAAAAAAATCAGCATATTGTAGATGAAAAAGAGGGAGAGAGGTGGATCAACAACAACATGGAAAATAAAAATTGATTTATAAGACTTTGTTTAACTGACAAGAGAACTGTAACTACATACCCTGTCAAGACACTCTTTGCCAGGTCTTGTTTTTTCTGTTGAAGTGCAACAATCCTTTCTTCAATGGTGTCCTTACACAAGAACCTATGTAAGAGTTATTGTTTTCTGTATGTTAAAAGCATTTGGGTCAAGGTCATGACACATTGTAAAGTCATAAAGTTTTTGTACAAGTATGAATACCAGTGGTAGTTTCAATAATTCTCCTTTGCTAAAATACTAGGGGTTATCAAAAAGTTCGTGGACTAGCGCCATAAAATTAAAACCGCTTTAGTTACATCAGTGAATTTTGTCATATCTATTCACCATCATCTTTTCTCTCTAAAGAATAAACCATGAATCATATATTTTAATTTTCAATAAATTAGTAATGTTTTTGTAAGCAATGAATAAATATTGCACAACCTCCAACACGACGTTTTTGTGACCTATGTGTGACTTAGAAAAACTCTTGATATGATCATTTGACATCCAAAAATCCCATTAACTCAGGTGTGTGTTGGGACACAATTATTCCATAAGATATGAAATTTTTACTTCATTCTGGAAGTTCTATGAAATTTTATCGTAAATTTTACATGAAGTGTCCAAACAAATAAGGCCTTGAAAATGACGTCAAAAGGGGGGAGGGGTTTCCTTTTCCAACATTCTATAAGGTTTTACCCCTGAAAAAACTGGTATAGACCTAAGAAATGTTTAAACTGGCTACAAAGAAATTTTATGCATTCTGTGCACTTGTCTTTTAATGTCAAAATAGATTCAGAGGGAAAAGGAATGTACAGTTAATGTCGATTTGTAATCAAGGTTAACATTTTAAATAATCACATTGAAAAATGACGTTGATCATGTATTGTTGATATTGACTCCCAAAAGCAAAATATGCTGGCACAATCAAGCGAGGATCTCTCCCAGTGTCTATATCCTTTGAAATATTTTATTCATTGAAAGCCGCTGTTCATTACATTGTAAAGTCCTATAAGCAAGGTGGGTTTTTGTCCTTACTCGGCTCCAGGGAATCTCATCAAAACAAGTGTATGAGGTAGAAGAAGCGGACATTGAAAAACAATGACGTAGTCAGACGTCATGAAACTAAACGGCGACAGCGCTGGGTGATCAGATAATGTCGTTTTTATTTCATAATGATTTGGCAAAAAATGAACGTATCAAGCTTAAATTTTCAACATTTCTTTATTTTTTTGTTGCTTTATGTTCCATATAAAATTTAAAGACACAGACTATATAGTTCCCATTTTATAGCCTCAGTCCACGAACTTTTTGATAACCCCTCATATAACCAAGATCTTTTCTGTCAGTGAACTTAAACTTCCCAAAATGACTTACCGTAGGTAAAGAAAAAAATAATCATAATTTAGCTGAAACCCCCCCACCCCAAAAAAAAAGACACCCCTAATCTCAAGAGAAGAAGAAGGAATATATAGACATAAAATAAATAAATATTGCACTAAATACAGAGTGAAGGTTCTAAGAATTAACTACAGATACAGTAAATCTGTAGTTTTGTACCCTCTGAATGAATGTTTACCTGTGTATAAACACATCCTTGGTCTGTCCCACTCTGTAGATCCTATCACAGGTCTTGTCACAAGGAAGGACACAAAATTACAATAATATCATAGAATTCCACTAAATCAAAATTTATAGGCAAGGTTAAAGTTCTTAAATTGCACTTAAAGTGGCAAAATTCTCCAAAAGCTCCCTTGAAGAGGCTCAATTACTGACTTTAAGACAATTTTCGAAATGAGATTTGAAAAATTAAGTTTAAAAAAGAATTTTGATTTCCTATTTTTGATTAGGATTGTGATACAGTAAAAATTGTCCTATCCTGCTGTTTTGTATTCTTAAACCTTGCCTAACATCATATTAACTTTGAACCCCCTCAGTGAAGGAATTTGTTTAAAATGTTGTCTAATCCAAAATGTTGTCTACTGTGGCCAATTTCTGTGAAACCAGTGGTGCCCAAACTAAACAAATTTTACTGTACACAACAATGCTTTGTTGTATTCTTATTTCATAAATTAGATACAGTTGGTCAATTGATATAGTCTTAAAAGTTTCACAATCTTTAAAACTAAATTTTCCATTCAAATTTGGGAAATATTTTTAAATTACCAGTGTTGATCAATCAGAAACAAGTGATTCCCTCCAATTAGATTGAGGCCGACGCCCCCTGCTTTGAGTGACACCAGCATGACCTCTGGTCCATGAATATTCGTGTTGAACTCCTCCACTGCCTCCATTCTTTTCTTTGCCGATACAGAACCTTGGATAATGGTGTATTTTATTCCTGCCATCTTCAGATGATGAGCTAAAATGTCCAACATCTTCGTCCATTGTGACACCACGACACTAAAACACAAAAGGACATATAGCCTAAAACATAACTGACTTTTATAGCATGGTCACAATAGCATGAATTTCAGTTCAATATGAAAAAGAATAAGTTTTTCATGGGACAAGCTACATTTGTTAACACATTTCCCTTGGTAACAGTTATGGTATGGTTACAAGCAAATTAAGATTTTTTTGTCTAAAGGTTAAAGTTGTCTGTTTTATTTTTGTTGTACAAAATGAGTAAGCACAGAAGAGCCTCAGTTAATATCTCTACACTCCTTATACACCTCCACACCAAGTCAAAACTATCTACCATAAGCCCCTAGTATGCTGGAGTAGGTAGACAACAGACATGTACACTAAATCATAAGTAACAAATATGGCTTTACACTGACCAATTCAAGGAATAAATATCACAAATATTACAAATTTCAAAGATCTTCACACCAACAACCCCAAAGCCTTTCAGATTATGATTGTGCATATAATTTTTCATCAAGATTTTTTGGATATTCAGTGTATATAGTATACCTTTTCTGTTTGTCTGGTAGCTCTTTTATTTCATAGAGTTTATCCATCACAGCCTTTAGCTGAAGAAAAAAAAAGCAGGTGTCATTTAACCCAAACATAAAAAAAAACTTCAGCAAAATGTTACAGTTGACATCCTGTCTTCTAGTTTTACCTTAGTGCTCATGGCCGCCATGTTGAAGATGGGGGAATCCCTGGTCAGTTTGGTCTTTTCCTCTGGTTCCCCCGACTCTAACATCAAGTCCTTCATCTGGTCTACAATGTCCAGTTCTAGTCCCTCTGTCTCTTTAGTCTCCTCATCAAAAGCCTGTAATGTTTAAAAAATTCTATACTAATTCCTCATTTACATTATGTCATGTATGACAAGAACAACATCAAAACATCAAGAACTTTCAAAACAAAAGAAAATTACCACTAGGAAACATGAATTATACTTAAAATGGTTAAAAAGATTTAAAGAAAAAAATTTAAAAAAATTGGCTTTAAAAAGTTTCCATCTGAGCAATAAAAACTTTTGAAAAGTTAATCTTTCACAGTGAAATTAAAATATATATTTTTTTGGATTTGACATTTTAACAAAATCACATCATCTACCATAAAAAAATTCTTGGTTCTCAGCCCGCGCGCATGGGTGCTTGCCGATTTTAATTTTTGATAAAATAAAAAGTTGGTGTTGCGGAAGAAAATGACCTTGATTTCCATAACAATATTTTCAGTGCAATAAAAATTTTGACAAGTAAATTTTTCCCAGTGAATATATATGTGAAAAAAAATTCTTTATGGGGTGGGGGGGAAAATTAAAAAAAATACCTCCCTAACATTGACAAAAGCACAAAAGTCATGATTAAGTGAATAAATATCATGAGGTTCCAATTATCAAAAAAACTTTAATAAATAAATTGTGCATAAAGCTCAGGTGAATTGTGGGTAATATTCTTACCTCCTTCATCAGACTGAGATGGCAGCAGCATTGTCTCAGCCTCAGTAACATGACGAGGATCATCTGACCGCTGGACCGTCCCGACTCCTCTGGTCCACCCCTCAGACTGCCTGGTGGATCCCCCTCTGGTCTGTCCCTGAAGGGATTGATAGAAGGCTGGGGGCAGGGGTCCCTCCCTAACTCCTTGTCTTCATGTCTTCTCAGGTAGTCCTTCATCACGGATCTAAGGATGAAAAATTTTGTTGTAAAAAATAAATTCTTCATAATATTTAGAGCGCTGTGAGTTAAGATGTAAAATAAAATTTTAATAACTGTGGACTCATTAAAATTTCTGGGGACCAATTTTCATGGATTATTTTAATTCTAAATGTTTGTTGGCTGTAATTTTGTGAATTCTCTTAGGATGAAGAAATTTGACTTTGTAACCATTAGTTCGTGGAGGATGTTAATTAGTGGATGAGAAGTACCCATGAAAATTGAGCCACCACAAAAACTTATAAATTCACAGTAAACTGTACATATATTTGAGAAAGGGATATGTATTTATAGTTACCTGGATTGAGAAAACAGTTTCTCGTACACCATTTTTTCTTCCTTAGAGAGCTCTATTTCATGGACAGAAGAAGACTTTGAGGGTAGAGAAACCTGTAAAATAAAAGCTGGGTTTATTGTCTGACACATTTAAAGGCATAAATATATCTTTCAAGACCACTCAAGATCTCTCAAACTTCATATACAGATAAGCCTCATTAATCCTGATGAACGAAACATCAACACTAATGAAACATAACTTTTATCATTGGTAGATATAAATGTCAATTCTATTCCTCACAAATGTTACCCAGAAGGTGAAGTACAATCAAATCCCATAATCTCATACTCGATTATCTGAGTTTTCGAGGTATCATGGGGTAGACTACTCTTGGAAAAAGTACTTAGAACTGAAAATCACTTTGACATACAATATCTTTGTATTCAAGATGTCAATATTCAAGATACTGAAGTTCATGTAAATGTCGATTTCTTGGTTCAGAATAATGGGGCTTAACTACATGTACATACTGTATAAGTATAGCTCGTAATTATTAAAACATGACAGATTTGCACTAGAAATTTTTTCCTCTAGTGTCAGGACAATTTTACCAGAGGTTTTCCGGCTTTATCGATCTGGTCCTTTGTTCTCCGCAATAACAAACTCTTAATGAGAACGTTCAGTCTGTCATTCCCACCAGCTGAAAAACACAGGACAACAGTTAGTGATACATGTGTGAATGAATGAATATTGGAGTTGTTTGCTGAGAAAGACAAAAATACGCATTTTACAGAGAGAACATTTTTTTTTTATTCCTAGTTCAAATTTAATAATATGGCTGCTGTACCTTTGCTAGATTCTACTTGTCTTTTCCACACTTTGTACTCATCAAAAGGTGAACATCGCAAAAATCTGAAAGGATAAACTTATATAGACTTATAAAGCCCGACTCCAAATGTGTTTATCATCATACAAATCAGATGAAGAGAAAGCTTGTGCAAAATTCTGAGTGCACCATTGTACATATTTCTGTCTTTCATATCTGAGATGGATATTTATAAGAACAAGAATCTGTGTATATTTGTAAGTTTCACATGTTAGGAAATTTTGGCATCACAATCTTCTTACCTGAGTAAAGAGTAGACGTCTAACAGTTCGTTTTGTATTGGGGTCCCTGTCATGGCCCAGCGGAACTGAGCACGAAGTCGACAGGCGGCCATTGACATCAGGCTCTTCCTGTTCTTTATGTTGTGGGCCTCATCCAGAATGATTCTCTCCCAAACGATCCGTAATAAAGTCGCGTCTTCTGTCCCTGATGCTGTGCTCTCCTAGAAAAAGAAAATAAGGAATTGGTACAAAAACGTGATGTCTCTCAGTCTAGTTTGTTAGCCTGCATCTGAACTTGAACGTAATGCTTAGTGCATATTTAACATTATAAAGAACTGCCTATTTAAAACACACATTGTCAAAAATTTTCGTTTGTAAAATCTGACTTTTATGCAGTGGATTTTCCACTTTCAATGCAGAAAAAGTAAAATTACAGAAACAAAAAAAACTAGAACTGTCCAAGCGGGACAAAACAGTTTATCAGAAGTATTTTTCCATAAGAAAGATATGGACCGGACAATTATGAAATTTTTCTTAACCTTGATTCCCCAAATGACCTTGGGTCAAGATCATGACAAACCCTCAGGTCATGGGCTACCTTTCAATGAGAACCTACCAAGTTTATCCATAAGAAAGAAAACATGAATTATGAAATTTTTCTTAATGACCTTGAACTTCCCCATTGACCTTGTTTGGTTCTACCTTAGGTCATGGGCAATATTTGTGTGAAATGACAACCTACCAAGTTTATCCATAAGAAAGATATGGACTGGACACGAATTATGAAATTTTTTCTTCCAGTGACCTTGAACTTCCCCAAATGACCTTGGGTCAAGTTCATGACACACCCTTTCATGAACAATCTTTTTGTGTGTACCAAGTTTATTATAAGCACTATGGACCGGACAGGAATTATCAATTTTTTCAAGTGACCTTGAACTTCCCCAAATGACCTTAAAAGGTCATGACACACCCTTAGGTCATGGGCAATCTTTGTGTGGAAGTAATGCTGTTCCTCTGTAAGAAAGATATGGACCGGACACGATTGCACAGACAGACGGACAGACAGACAGACAGCTAGACAGACGGACGGACACGCTAAGACGTGATTATGTAGGCGGGGGATAATTTTTAAGTTGAAATTTTGGCAAGACTCAAATTTTGTGATTTCAACCAAAAATATTTAAGCAAGAAGTACATGTAATTTTCGTAATTTTTTAATGTCAAGAAACAAATTATATGGAATAAATTGTTAGCAATGTTCAATTTCAGCCATCTCAGAACTCTCGCTGATAATACCAAATTCGAATCCTTGCTAAGAATTCTGCTTATATGATTTTAAATTATTTTACTTGTTTGTTCTCTGTTGCCTCTTCTTCTTCGTCTTTAGCCGGTGCGTCAGCGTCTACATTAACAGCTCCTACCTCCTTCCCAACTAGTGTGTATGTCGTTAGCACTATGTCATTATCAGCAAGCCTACAAAACAATCTTATTCCTTTATTTTAATCCAACTTCATATTTTTTTTTTGTATAAATACCGTAAAACACACTTTTAGCAATGTTCAAAAGACGATAAATTTTGATTCATTATGAATCTAACTTATTGCATTCACGATATATTTTTAAACTACAGAGAATGAACATTACTTTAATAGAAGAATGAATTCCCTATAAATGTGTTTGCTGTTAATGTTTACAGTACAGAGAGTAAGACAATTATTACAACATACCTCAGTACATCCTTTTCCCTGTTCTGTCCGTGGTACATTAGAACCTGCAGTCTCTTCCCTTTCACTCTTCTCTCGATCTCTTTGTGCCAGTGGTGAATTAAGGAGGCGGGACAGATAATCAAGGTGGCTCTAGACTTGATGATGTTCTTTCCCACTGAAAATTATGGTGGAAAAATTGTCAATACAGGTAAAAGAAGAAGGAAGTTTCTTCATTTCTTGAAAGTTTATAGTCTTGAAAATTCTATTTAACATTCATAACCTGCATACTTCTTGACTATAATATTTCAGGGTCTCCATGACAAACAATAATTAATTTGACCTCTGACCTTTCTCCAGCTGTTTATCTCTGTTTAACCAATCGTCTTCCTCCTCCTTTGGCTTCAGTTGTTTCTGTTTTAGCACTAATGATATCATTGTCAGTGTTTTCCCCAACCCCATGTCATCAGCTCAAAAAAATAATGTATTTAATGAAAACATCTTTGATGTGCAGCATGATTAACCTACATATCTTTTTTTAAAATTTGTGGTTCATTGAATTAAAAGTCTTTTCACAAATACTGTATACAGGGTTATTTTCGCCCTTTCACATCTGAAAACAAGTTTGTCCCGTTTTAAATTCGCCCAAAAAGATTTTTGTTTAAGATATTATACAGTTTACTTTGAATTCGCCCCGTTTTAAATTCGCCCACGCCAGACTAGGGCGAAAGGGGCGAAAATTAAACGGGGGCGAAAATTTCCCTGTATACAGTAATAACCTAAATCTGGCAACACAGAAGTAAAGGTACAGTTAGTTTTCAATGAAAAATTCAAATATACTCAGGCCCCCCTAATAACTGCAACTGTGTGCAGTGAACTAAGAAGGGCTTGTGTTTGATATGCATGTACTTGAAAATTTTGCCCAGGACCCTACTCAACGGATGTACTGTTGCCCCTCCTTATTTTGATGGTTTTCAATATTCACATTTACCTAACACTCTCTCGGGAGAGGAACCCCAATTTGGCGAGTCTTCACCAATTACCCAGGATTGGATCCCCCCTGGTCCCACCCATTTGGTGGGTTTTTACCTCTTACCTAATATCTCCTTGGTGGGGTGGGGTGGGGGTTGCCTCCCACTTATTTATTGGTGAAATTTCAACACTTACCCAGTACCCCAAGGTGGAAGGTTACCCCATCCCACTAATTTGGTGGGTTTTCACCACTTTCCTAAGACCCCCATGGTGGATGTTGCCCCCACCCCACTTATTTAATGAATTTTCCAAAGTTAAAATGTCCCCCATTAATCCCTGAATGTTGCCCCCACCCCACTTATTTAATGAGTTTCCCCCACTTAGCCAGGATCCCTCTTGGTGGATGTTGCCCCTCCCCACTTATTTGGTGATTTTCCCACTCTTACCCAATTTCCCTGTGGTGGGTGTCACCCCTCCCCCTTTTTATTGAGTTTTCCCCACTTACCCAGTATCCCCTCTGGTGGGTGTTGCCCCTCCCTCTATTTGTAGTGAGTTTCCCCTCTTACCCAGTATCCCCCCTGGTGGGTGTTGCCCCTCCCTCCATGTGAGCCAGGCCAGGGCCTGTCTTTGGTGAGCCATCAGTGAAACCTTCAGTCCTTTAGGGTCCCCAATCTCTGTACTAGAATCAGGACACGTCTCTAGTTGTCTGTAAGTAAAATAATACCATGCATTTTATACACATTCCTCAATTCATTTTCTACCTCATAAAATTTCAACTGACGGTCAAGAGATTTTAAAGTACAAACGACTCAAGTCTTTTGCAGCAATGAATTTACATTTCAAGCTATGGACTATGTCAGTGACTCACTTGTGTAATTTCTCGATGGCTTCCTTAGTTACACTTCCTACTTCTCGGAGTCGAGCTGCAGTCATCCTTCCTCCATAAAGGGTCTGGGCCTGGGGGTTGGCTATAATACAGAAAATTCAATGTCTAATTGTAATCCAGTGGACTGGCTATTAGAAAAATGTATCATTTTGTTCTAGGTCTCAGTAACCAAACTGAGAAAAGACTTCGCCGAAATTTAGATTTTGAAGTACTTTTTCAGCGTGGTAGTAATTTACACTATGTATGCAGTCACAAATTTTCCGCGGAAATTTGTCCAAGCGTACTTAATATAAATGTATAAGGCATATAGTGACAATCTAGAAAATCCGCGTAATTTTCTATCTGCGGATGAAACAGAAATTGAGATTCCGCGGAATTACAACCCCGTGGAAAAAAGAACGTCTATATAGAACAGTATATAGATATTTATGTTCTGCATATCCTGTGCATGTTTGCTCTTTACAGCTTTTATGAACATCTGAACAGAAGCCTGAATGCTGAACCTAACTTAAATCAATCAAATATAAACTATAGGCCAAATGCAACCACCAGACAAACAATCTGCAAATGAATTATAAATTTAAACCGATTACCAATACAAAGAAAAAGTGTCCTCCTGAAGACGATTTTTGCAAATTTTGGAAGAGAATGTTCACATGTGTATCTGCAGGTTATACATGGTCCTATGTAAAGCTACATGGTACATGAAAGGCCTCTTACCTGCGTACAATTGTTGTAGTATATGTGGGGGGATGGTGGTGGCGTGAGGCAGTAGGCTGGTCTGTTTTAGTCCCTGGGGGTTGTGAGGAACGTGGCCACTGGTGGGTCCTGATTTCTGAGCCCCTGCTAACAATATCAGACAATGAACAGGTGCTTTTTTCATCTAACATGTATCTGGGGTACATGCATTATAATAACACCTTTTACAATGATGCACATTAAATTTCATACATGTGTTACATTGTTACCGTATTTAATTTGTTTATTCTTATTTTGGAGATTTATTTTATTAGAAACATTTTTCACTTAAAATCTTTAAAATTTTGCATAAAAATTGGTCTCGTATATTCAATTTTTTTTATTGAATTATAATGAAGTTCAGAGTTCAAAAGGTCGTCATTCCCCCTGACCTGGCTGAACAACATGAATGAGTTTCTGCTGCCCGTCTGCTCCAGCTGAGTAAACTTTGATGACCTGTGGCTGGCCTTGAGTTTGACCTTGTCCTCCAGGAATAACCTTGACCACCTGGGGCTGACCAGTGGTTACTGAGGGCTTTGGTAATATACTGACAGGAGCTGAAATCAGAGAATTCACACATGTTTTGAAAAATAACAATAGCAACAATAGATGGTACATGTCAGGATTCTCCACATTTGAAAATTTAACCATGGAGGAAGCTGCGTGAAGGCTAAATGTGATGATTGTGATCGAAAACACGAAAATGTGTAAGACTTCCTAACCTTCGTTAATCAAAGATTGATTTTACAATTTTTATACTTTACCACTGCAACACCCAAACTTTGAAATAACCAACACTTATAAAAGCATAAAAAAATATAATTAAATTGAAATAAAAATGATTATTTATCTTAATTCACAAATGTACCTAAATTTGCCCAAAACTGAAGTTACCTTTTGAAGGAATTTAAAGAAAACTTTTGACACAGTAACCATGGCAATTTTATTCAGAAACTAATAATTATAAGAATTGTTGTAGCCCATTGTATGAAAGGATTTGTTTAAATGTGACTAAATCTGATGAATGGGTAGTATTTCATTTTAAGTTAACACACAAACGAACATTTGGGCCAGTATCCCTTTTCTAAATGTTCTATTTTTCTAGATATTGCATTTTTCACCGAGTTTACTCCTTTGATTACTTCTCCACATGTCCCAGTGCTAAAAATAGCGCCAAGCGACATTTCATAAAATCGGGAAGTAATTCTAAAACTAAGACGGCGATTGACACTCATGTTCATTTTATCAGAAAGATAATATAGGCCTAGTTAAAACTTTAAAAACAGACCATGGGACATTGATTAAATACAGAAGAATAATTCAGTATGAAATTTTGAAACTATTTTTTTCTGGCACAGAAACTTGAATCACATGCATGACGGTTATCATGCTTGTACTCGTAATTGCCATCTTTTTATATAAACCAGTAAACCGTTATCTATTAATCATGCAGTGAACATGTTGAAGTCCCCAAAATTATTTACATAATTTTATGTACTGGATAATTAACTCTCAAAATATCGACCATCAGCTGATTGACTCTATTCAATTGTCACGCTTCACAGCATAGTCGCGGATTAACGACAGTGTTTGTTTTAGCATGACCCGGCTTTCTCTCGAGGCATGCGAGGTGCATGGCAGTCGTAGTATAAACACAATTAACTACTAAAGACATTAAAAAGTAGGTGTCAGGACTGAAATGCAATAAAATTTAATCACGGCGGATGCCGATTTTAACCATGGCGCAGCTCGTTTAACCATGGTGCAAATAAATTTAACCATGGCAAAACCCCTTGTGGAGAACCCTGCATGTAATATGAACAAATCAAAGGGTACCGACAGAGATCAAATTCAATGTGATACTGAAAGGTGAACATTCAAGATGACCTGGTTTCAATGTCACTCAAAAAAAAGTATGTAATTTTATGCTACAGTTGACATATACACAGTGTACTCCCTTTCTTTCAAAGTCTGGGGTTAAAGGTTAGTTGTGACAGGCTAGTCATGGCTAGTGGCTGACGTTTTAATGAACAAAATCTCTTTGGACCTATCAACTAAATTTCGATTTTTTTGTTATTTCAAAGCGGAATTTGTGTCAATTGAAGCAGTCAATGTTGTCGGTAGCTGGTTCTTAGGGAAAACACTGTATACATTGCCAATATTTTTTCCTCGGTAATGAGACTCTCCACTACTAGGAGAAGACTTCTAAACCAATCTTTGTCTACATTTATGGCCCCTCACCTTTAGATTTGGACCTTGATTTCAGATCAGCAATTCTCTTGTTCAGTTTTGACACAGCTCTCTCAATATCATCCACCTGCTTGCGGAGTTTTTCCCCCTTATCTGGTAAAGTTGACATTTTGACAGTTGCTATCACATGCTGAAATTCATAAAACATACCTCATTAAAGCAGTAGCCAGTTTTCTGATATTATCTAATCTTGAGAATTTCAATTGCTTGAATAAATTATATATGGCTAATAAAACTGACTCAACATTGTTATCAAAAAGCATTTTTTTAAAAATATAAGACAAATTTCTGTAATCTGTAAGAACTTGTACCTTTTGCCTATTTAACTGCGGAAGTAACGAATTCCTCGAGTCAATATCACACTGTAACTGCCATTCCTCTGCAGGAGTCAGGGGCAGACTACTCTTGTCAGGTGGATTCTGATTGGCTGAGTTGAGTTCCTGTAGCCTTGGCACGGCATGAGGAGGGGGTTCGTATCTCGCCTGTTGGTCCTGTGGACTTGTTGGCCTCTGTGAGGATGACCCCGCTCCCCTTGGATCCCCCTCTTCCTCATCACTGGATAACTCCACGATTTCTATGGGGCTTTTACGACCAGCTGTCACTTGCTCTCCAGACTTCATTCTAATTCTCTGTATCAATGGAAGCTCGGGGGAGGAGTCTGTCTGTGAATTAGACTGAGGGCTCTTCTTTTTGATCCTCCCAATTCCTTCATATTTATGTCTGTGGCTGGGAGTTTCATTTTTCTCCCTGCCTTCCTTCAATTCTGATTGAGTCTTTTCCTCCCTATTGATTGGACTAAGTTCTGAGTCTGATATCCCAATAGCAGAGTTACTCTTAGAGCAGGGAGAATCAAAACTATCTATACTATCCGATTCAGAGGTGGATGAAAGATCACGATACTTTTCAAAAGCAGATTCATCTTTCTTTGCATCTGAATCTCTTGTCTTCTTTAATTTTAACTTATTTTCTCTGGTCTTTGCAGTCTCAGACTTATCATTTCCTCTTTGCTGGACACCTTCTTCGATACTTAGATTGGCCAATTCCTCGGCCAAACCCCCTTCTCTTTCTTCCTCAGAGGTACGTCTTTGGACGCCAGAAGAAACATTGTCCGAGTCCACTTTAGCTGAGGAGTTTCTTGCAGGCTTTTCCGATTCTCTTGAAGCCATTGTCTTTGCCTTATTTTCCGTTGATTTCTTTCTCTCTTGGTAATTATAGTCTCCCAGAGGTCTGGAAGACTCCTACAGAAAAAAAAGAATTTCAACATTTTCTTTGTATATAAATAGTATGCAAGAAAACAGACATTTACCATTTCCATTTATATGCAACACAAGCATGCTTCCCCCCCCCCCCACAGAGTCATAATTCTGCCAAATCACAATCTCTGTTCAATTCCATTATATAAGATTATGCAGATTTTTTTTTATTGCCATTGTTTTTCTCAAAATTTCAAGCACCCCTTTTTTTAACAGTGTAAATTAATTGCACAAAAAATACATCTATTTTGTATGAATGTTACTGAATTTTTCTCTTACGTTTGTTGAGTTTGATTCTGTAACAACATGTTCTTCTCACGTAATACTGAATTTACTGTATTAAATTCAAAATACAATTACACGAAAAACAGTTTATATTTCAGAGGTCACAATGTTTATAAATAGTTAACCAACCTTTCTTAAATTAAAATATCCACACCAGTTCTCATGTGAGTCTCTCCTACGACATCTGTAATACTGCCTGAAAATACAAACCTTCCTTGAAATACAAATTCACAAATTTATTTTACACAGAGTCATACAACTGTCATACACATCAAATTCTTTTTCCAATTTCTGGTTACCTTTTCTCATCATTTTTCTTTGAGCAGAATATGGACTGAAGATCTACAGTGGTGTGGTGTTTTGGACACTCTAATTTTTGCAGTCTATAGAGAAAATAAAAAAAAGCTATAGTATAAGAGACAATTCATAATGCTGAAGCCCACCCTCACCTATGAATCTGAATTTGGGTCTTAATCGATTCTATATATTCACTTGATTTTTCCACACAAAATCCTTACACTCTGTAGATAATTTTTTTTCTTGTAATGTTTACCTTGTATAGATGCATAAGTGAGCTGAAAATTTTAGCAAGTAATTAACTTTAGCTCAACAAATTTAGCACAAAGATAAAACTAGGATTCTTGATGTTTCAGAAAGATTTTATTATATTTTATACAAACCCGGATTTCTTTACAAAACCACAAGTGGCTGACTGGCTGCAGATATAAAAACTAACACCATTTGTTGGCCCTTCCTTTAATCCAGTTTTCAAGAAGCACAATTCATCTAAAAAGACAGAAATGGTTTTAATGAAATTTCAATAATCAATATAAATTCAGCAATTTATATGTTTTATAAATTTATAAAACATAGTAATTACAATCCAAATCTTAGCACAATAACATAATCAGGGATTAATGTAGGTTTTGGGGGGAAACTACCCTTTCTGGAGAAATTGGTAAAATCTCAGCCGCGAGTCTGAGGGCCACTCAAGAACCCCAGCTGGTGTAGAATAAGTCCTGCTGGGGGCTCAACTGAATTTCAGCACTAAAATGACCATCTAGAGTGCATAAGATAGCAACTGTTTCACATCTTATCAATTTTTTTCTTGCTCATCGAATTATCAAAAGGGGAACATGGTATGAAAATTGTAATGGGGGAAATTTCCTCTTTGGGGAAAATACTGTATAATTGTAGAAAATTTGCCCTTTATATAGATGTATAAGATTGATCCCTGTCAGATCATAAAAACCTAAATGAAGAAAATCATTTAGACTATGATCATTTAAGTTGACTAAACACATAAACGTATTTGTATAAATCTTAGTACAATTACCAAAAGGGTTTTTTTTTTTAGTCTAAAGAGGCCAGAAACCATTTCTGAGTAATTTTGAGATGCCTCTACATTTAATTTAGAATTGTCACTTCTGTTGCTTTCAGATTAACTGTAAACCACCAACAGCATTTTTGTTTACTGTATCATTCTCATCATTTTAAATTCATACGAGTTCAAATGACAATCAATTGAAGGGCAATATTCATTTTTGAAGCTAGATTTCACCCAACACGTACCAGTAATAAAAGTGTACATATTGATTAAAATCAAGTGTGAACTGTATAGATGTAATGTTTTATCATTGAAAATGATAAATGTCCTACAGACCAGGAACCTGGTTTAACATGTGGAGGGGTTGTCCACTAAACTACTGAGAAATGATGCAATATGTCAACTGTCATCGTAATAGCGAGCGCAGCGAGGCGGCGCAAAGCGCCGCTCGCATAGCGAGCTCTTAAAGCACCGCCTGTGCGAAGAGAAAATTTCGGACTTCTGCACATTCATTCGATAGAATTTTTTGATGCAGCAATTGGACCCACAATGCATCACTTGTTTTAGCTACATTCTCGCGAGAATCATGGCAAATGTTCAACAAAAAGTTTACTCGCCTTGATTTAATGGATATATATTGCAGATAAATAGAAAACAAAATGTTCTTCATTAACTTTCAGCACTGTTCAGGCTTTTTCTTGGTATATTGCGACTTACATGCGTCATGTGACGTCAGAGTCTAAACGCACCAAATGTCACGTGCGGTTTGACGAGCCCGATCTAAATAAAAAAATGGAAGAGTTTGCCCTCACTCTAATGGTGGCACTGTCAACATATTATGATCTTTAAATATGTTTTAATTTCAACAATTTTGCGTCCTTCTATATTAGAAAAAACGCAAAAATTATTAATACACAACATAGCAAGCACTGGTCCAATGATTGACCTCTCTTACAAAGGGATATTAATTAATTAGATGGGGCCAAGAATGGATATCTAGTTATGCATTTTTGAAGAAACGGCAAAGGGTAAACACGTTTAATGAATCAGGAGGGACTTATTTCATTTTCACTTTCGTTTCCAAAGGTATCCACAAAAATATTCATTGAACTTCAATCAATTGTCATATCTTCAGTCTCTAATTTCGACCGAAAATGGTTTATAAAAGTCTGTATCCAACTTCGGATAATCCATAACATTCAAAGTTAAAAGTTCAAGTAAAAATACTAACTGTGCTTCTCGCATTTTATCTCTTCCATCATGTTCATCACAGTGAACTCTTCATGACGTGTTCTACTTTCAAATTAAATATCGCGCGAGAAACCGCGAGATAAATTTAACCAATCAAATTCACTCTAAAAACAGCTTATCGATTTTTGGCCTATCAAATGTAGCGTACGAACCGCGTTATGGTAAACCCAAACATGATGAAATGTCAAACAACGTGTTTACAATGTTATTGTAGAATTTTTTGGTGGAAGACATTACAACAAGAATGAGAGACACGCTAAAAGAAAATACCAACAAGTAAGTTTTATGTTATATATTACGATATCATTTAAATCGACGGCTTTGCCTTCGTCCTCTCATAGAAATTGGAGAAATACTGTGTTAAAGCAACTAAGGATTGTCAGCATATGCTTAATCTGATGTTTACTACAAACAGCTCGATACAGGGACCTTTACACTAAATATGTAGATCCCTGCTTCATAGCATAAGATTAAAATGTCTGTGATTTTTAATAAAATAATGTAAATCTGACATTATACCTTTTATAAGACTTTCTTTTTTGGGGTCGGGGGGGGGGGGGGGGGGATCTATAATACTACTAGGATTTGTCTGAAAATTAATATATATATATATTTTTTTTTATTTATATTTTTTCTCATAATAAACAAAGAGATAACTGAAACATATTTACATTTATGCCACACACACACACATACTCACCCTTTCACACTATCCACTATCCTTCTATAAATAATATTAGAAGAGAGAGAGAAAAAAAAGAAAATACATGTAATTTCAATTTGTCACTATTTCCTCCAAAGCCTTATAACATTGTGCATATATTATCCAAATTATTAAATACATATATATTTTCTTTTATCAATATGAGGATAAAAAAGAGATAAAAAAAGAAAGAAAAAAGAGAAAGACAATAACAATAGTAAATGACATTTGAACTGTCACTCATCAAAAACTGGTTTCCATGTAGACCATAAGGAATTAAAATACACAATTTTGTTCTTTTGGATTGAAACAAATTTTTCAACATTATATTTGATTCTTAGATGACATAAGAGTGCGCTGATATTTGGCATTTTCTTCTGCATCAAACAAGTAAATATATATTGTTTAGTGTATAGTATAATAAAATTTACAACTCTATTATTTTTTGTCAATGGAATCTCTCCTAATATAACATTATTAATGTTAAATCCAACCCTTTTTGAAGTAGTTCTATATATATGTTGGCTTAGACTACTCCACAATGACAAAATATTATTACAAAATAAAAATACATGTTGGATTGTTTCACTTTCATTCTTACAAAAAGTACAAAAATCAGTGGTTTTAATATTAATCTTTTTAAGATAATAACCTACAGGAAGAATCCTATGCAGTATTCTAAACTGCAGCCATTGAACAGCTGTATCACTTGTTACTTTAAAACAAACTTTAAAAACATCATGTATTTCAAAATTACACTGCCCATACGGAATTCCATTTTGATGTAAATGTAGGTTTAACACTATTTGTGTTTAAAATGGAGTATATTGGCTTAGTGCATTTTTCTAACTGTAACAACAATTCATAATAAAATGGCATAAGTGTACTGAAAGATTTTGTGGATAAAGATTTGTCAATAGACATACTTTTCAAATATTTTGATACTGCAGTAAGAACACTATTATATTGCATAATCTGCTTATTTGTATCTGTTTGTGAGAGGCAAAATTTTTTTTGTAAAGAATCAAAGCATAAAAATTTTCCTTCGCTATCTAAAAAATCTCCAATTACTCTAATACCTTTCTCATACCAATTTTTGATAAATACAGACTGTTTGCCAACCATTATATTAGAATTGTACCACACCGGGATATTTAAAAAATTAGTTTTTACACTTTTACAATTATTTAAACACTTCATGACTTCCAGCCATGATTTTAATACATCTTGCCAAAAAGCATTGTTTTTAGGAAGTAAATGCTCTAAAATAAATAGATCCCCAAAATGAAATAGCTTCTCAATAACATCTTTTCCATTCACTGCAAAAAAAAAATCCATCCATGGCTTTTGTTTTTGAGTTAACCTTTTCATCCAAGAAGATTTTAACTACATCAACCATTTTTAAACCTCCAGAAAGATAGTCTTGTGTGACAAGGGATCGCTTTATCTTATCCGATTTGGACTTCCATATAAATTCAAAAAGGTCTTTTTGCAAATCTACTAAAAACTGTTTTCTAGGAGATGGCAAAGAAATAAATAAATGATTAAGCTTAGGTAGGATAAGAGTCTTAACAACAGTTATGCGACCAATTGGAGTTAGGATTCTTCGCTTCCATTGTTTAATCAAAGCTCTTATTTTAGGTAGTTGTGAGTCATAATTAATATCAACAATTTCTTTAAGATGAACTGAGAATTGAATTCCTAATAAGTTGAAAGTTGTAGTTCCCCATTCTAGTTTCCACCTTGTGTGATGGAAAACTTCTTTTGAATACTTTTTTGATCCAATCCACACTATTTTAGTTTTTGATATGTTAATTTTCAATCCTGAAAATTTTGAATAAAAATCAATGGTATCAAGGGCAGCAAAAAGGGATTTTTGTGAACCATCTAGAGCAAGAAAAGTGTCATCAGCATACTGTGATAATTTATGTTCTTTATTATCTACCACAATACCTTTAATGTCCTTATTCTGTTTAATTAAAATTGCCTGAACTTCTGCACATAGAATAAATAAATATGGAGAAACAGGGTCACCTTGTCTGCAACCTCTTTGTATATCAAACTGATCAGATAAAAATCCACTTTGTAAAATAGAAGCTTTAAAATTAAAATTTAGAATCTTGACCCAGTTTATAATCTTTGAACCAAAACCAAAATACTTCAAAACTTTATATGTAAATGTCCATGAAATTGAATCAAAGGCTTTTTCGAAGTCAATCAAAACTAATAAACCTGGAATGTTTTTAGAAGCTGTGTAGTGGATTAAGTCATACATGAATCTTGTATTTTCACCTATATACCTCCCTTTCATAAATCCTGATTGAGTATCTGATATTAAATAATCTAACGTTGTTTTAATTCTTTGTGCGAGACAACCTGATATTATTTTGTATAAAACATTTAGAAGTGTTATTGGGCGCCAATTTTTTAGAAACTGTCTAGGTTTATCGCCTTTTGGAATACATGAAATTATACCTAATCTTTGTGATATTGGGAGCTCGTTATTGATAAAAATACATTTAATTGCCTTTAGTAAATAAGTTTTCAAATCGTTCCAAAAGAATTTAAAAAATTCAACCGTGTAACCATCACTACCTGGAGATTTGTTATTTTTCATATTTTTAAGCACTTCTGCTACTTCCTTTTCATTAATATCACACTCAAGTTTCTCAGATGCATGCTTATCTAACTTTGGGACATCTTGTCCTTGAATAATTTCTTCTAAATTAATATCTAAGAGCTCAGAATCTGAACTTGTATATAAATGTTTATAGAATAATTTCACATGATTTAAGATCTCTGCTTGATTATATATTGTACCCTCTCTTTCTACTTCTACCTTTTTAATAGTTTTATTTAAAAAATTTCTTGCTTCTAAATTACAAAAATACTTTGTTGGTTTTTCCCCTTCTTCAATCCATCGAGCTCGTGATCTTATAATATGCCCCTGTAATTTTTCTTTTCTCAAATTTTCAAGGCTCAACTTTTTTTCCTCTAAAAGTTCAAAATTAATTTCTGCCATTGTTTCTAAATGCTCAATTTCCTCAAGTAATAATTTTTCTGAATTTTGTCTTTCTTTTTTTCTGAAAGATGAATAAGAAATAGTAACCCCTCGAATTTCCATCAAAAGGACTTCAAAAAACAGACTGTCATCAATTTGAACATTACATTGATTACCATCATTCTCTGGAACGTGTAAATATTGGGCAACTACCTTTTTTATAGTTTCTTTTACTTTTTCAACATATGTTTTATCTGTTAATAAGCTGTTATTGAATTTCCATAGACCTCGCCCTCTTTCAAAGGCATTAAATTTTAATTCAATTATAACTGAAGAATGATCAGATCTGTAACCAGGTTTAATACAAAAGTTTTCAACCAGATTTGAAAGACTTTCTGAAATAAGGATATAGTCAAGGCGGCCTTGTTTTAATGGATTTTTTTTCAACCAGGTATATATTTTTTTTTCTGGGTATAAAATTCTATAGTAGTCAATTAACTGAATATCTTCCATAACCTCTAATAATTTCTCGCGTGCTTTTGGGTTACTGACACTACGATAGTTGAAAGTATCTAAAGAAGGGTTTAAGGCAAGATTAAAGTCGCCACAAAGTAGCAGATATTCATTATCAAATTCAAGAAAAGTTTCTCTAATTGTGTCATAAAAATCTGGATTATCAGAATTAGGACCATATATGTTAATGATAGTAGTTCTATTATCTTCAATTGTAATGTCTAATGCCAGCATATTCCCACTGTTATCACTTTTTACACTGTGTATTTTAAATTCAAAGTTATTGTTAAACATTATAGCAACCCCTCTTGCATTAGATTTAAAAGAATTAAATATACATTTGAAACCCCACTGCGCTTCAACATATGGTTCAATTTCTGGAGTAAAATGAGTATCTTGCAGACATATGATCGAATATCCTTTTTTTCTGTAAAAATTTAAAACATCTAATCGTTTTGATGGTGTTGCAAGGCCCTGACAGTTCACTGTAACAACTTTTATATTATCTGACATTGAATCTGATACAAAATAAAAGGATAATACTTAAACAAAGAAACGGGTGTCGAATGTAGTATATGGTTTTGGAGAAATAAGCAACAAAACAAAAGAAATGTGGATAATATTCACACACATACCATGTCACACACTTTCGCATTCTCTCGCTTCAATCGATCCCGATCACAAAGCTTACTGTTTCCCGATCCCGATCTTAAAAGTTCTTAAAGTTTTTCGTACTCCAGCTGTTTAAGCATAAATCGTGCTATTTGTGTTTAAGTTTGTCAGAAACACTGTCCAGG